TCTCTCTCTCCATCTCTCTCTCATCTCTTCCGCCTCTCTCCTCTCTCCATCTCCATCTATCCTCTCTCTCTCTTCTCTCTCTCTCCATCTCTCTCAGGCCTATGATGGTGATAACACAGAAGATTACCAGTTTGGCGTTTGAAATCCACGATGGTAAGGAGCTTATTTTCTTCAAAACAGACATGGAGAATATATACTGAACTAAAATATAAACGCAACATGCAAAAATGTATTCACATGACTGGGAATACAGATATGCATCTGTTGGTCATAGAAACCTTTTTTTTTAAAGGTAGGGGCGTGGATCAGAAAACCAGTCAGTATCTGGTGTGACCACTATTTACCTCATGCAGTGCGACACATCTCCTTCATAGAGATGATCAGCCTGTTGATTGTGGCTTGTGGAATGTTGTCCCACTCCTCTTCAATGGCTGTGCGAAGCAGCACCATGAAGACCAAGGAGCTCTCCAAACAGGTCAGGGACAAAGTTGTGGAGAAGTACAGATCAGGGTTGGGTTATAAAAAAAAATCTGAAACTTTGAACATCCCACGGAGCACAATTAAATCCATTATTAAAAAATGAAAAGAATATGGCACCACAACAAACCTGCCAAGAGAGGGCCGTCCACCAAAACTCACTGACCAGGCAAGGAGGGCATTAATCAGAGAGGCAACAAAGAAACCACAGTCGGAGATTGGAGTATCTGTCCATAGGACCAATTTAAGCCGTATACTCCACAGAGTTGGGCTTTACGGAAGAGTGGCCAGAAAAAAGCCATTGCTTAAAGAAAAAAATAAGCAAACACGTTTGGTGTTCGCCAAAAGGCATGTGGGAGACTCCCCAAACATATGGAAGAAGGTGCTCTGGTCAGATGAGACTAAAATTGAGCTTTTTGGCCATCAAGGAAAACGCTATGTAAACCGAACACCTCTCATCACCCCGAGAACACCATCCCCACAGTGAAGCATGGTGGTGGCAGCATCATGCTGTGGGGATGTTTTTCATTGGCAGGGACTGGGAAACTGGTCAGAATTGAAGGAACGATGGATGGCGCTAAATACAGGGAAATTCTTGAGGGAAACCTGTTTCAGTCTTCCAGAGATTTGAGACTGGGACGGAGGTTCACCTTCCAGCAGGACAATGACCCTAAGCATAATGCTAAAGCAACACTCGAATGGTTTAAGGGGAAACATTTAAATGTCTTGGAATGGCCTAGTCAAAGCCCAGACCTCAATCCAATTGAGAATCTGTGGTATGACTTAAAGATTGCTGTACACCAGTGGAACCCATCCAATTTGAAGGAGCTGGAGCAGTTTTGCCTTGAAGAAATCCCAGTGGCTAGATGTGCCAAGCTTATAGAGACATACCCCAAGAGACTTGCAGCTGTAATTGCTGCAAAAGGTGGCTCTACAAAGTATATACTTTGGGGGGAGGGTTGAATAGTTATGCACGCTCAAGTTTTCAGTTTTTTTGTCTTATTTCTTGTTTGTTTCACACAAAAAAAATAATTGCATCTTCAAAGTGGTAGGCATGTTGTGTAAATCAAATTATACAAACCCCCCAAAAATCAATTTTAATTCCAGGTTGTAAGGCAACAAAATAGGAAAAATGCCAAGTGGGGTGAATACTTTCGGAAGTCACTGTATTGGCGGGAATTGGAATACGCTATCGTACATGTCAATCCAGAATATCCCAAACATGCTTATTGGGTGACATGTCTGGTGAGTATGCAGGCCATGGAAGAACTGGGACATTTTCAGCTTCCAGGAATTGTGTACAGATCCTTGCGACATGGGGCCGTGCATTATCATGCTGAAACATGAGGTGATAGCGGCGGATGAATGGCACAACAATGGGCCTCAGGATCTCGTATCGGTATCTCTGTGCATTCAAATTGCCATCCATAAAATCAGTGGAGGCTGCTGAGTGGAGGACGGCTCATAATAATGTATGGAACGGATCGAATGGAATGGCAATTTACATATATTACCACAAGCCCGTTCTCCCCAATTAAGGTGCCACCGACCTCCTGTGGATTAAAATGTAATTGTGTTCGTTGTCCGTAGTTTATGCCTGCCCAAACCATAACCCCACCACCACCATGGGGCACTCTGTTCACAACATTGACATCAGCAAACCGCTCGCTCACATGTCGCCATACACTTGGTCTGTGGTTGTGAGGCCGTTTGGACGTACTGCCAAATTCTCAAAAAAGACGTTGGAGGCGGCTTATGGTAGAGAAATGAACATTAAATTCTCTGGCAACAGGTCTGGTGTACATTCCTGCAGTCAGCATGCCAAAATCTGAGACATCTGTGGCATTGTGTTGTGTGACAAAACTGCACATTTTAGAGTGTCCTTTTATTGTCCCCAGCACAAGTTGCACCTGTGTAATGATCATGCTGTTTAATCAGCTTCTTGATATGCCACACCTGTCAGGTGGATGGATTATCTTGACAAAGGAGAAATGGTCACTAACAGGGATGTAAACAAATTTGTGCACTAAATCTGAGAGAAATAAGCTTTTTGTTTGCATGGAACATTTCTGGGATCTTTTATTTCAGCTCTTGACACGTGGGACCAACACTTTACATTTTACCTTTATATTTTTGTTCTGTGTATTTCTGGATTAGTCACATGTCTTTTCCTCTGAAATCAGACAGATGAAAAGAGAGGAAACTTTAGTAACATGGGATATTCCTCAAATTCCTCACATCACAATGCCCACATGGCTTGAATATCTCACATACTTAATCCGTTTCTCCCTAGAAATGTGGAGGAGTCGGATCATAAAGTTGCATTGTTTATGAGCACACTGTTTCTATTGTACTCTGATAACTGCCTCTCGAACCGAAAGTAAAAGAGAACAAGAAAGCAGAATAGAAAGTATATGTTTGAGAGAATAAGATTCAATAGTTTCTCAAAAGTAACAGCTTCACACACACACGCACACACACACGCAGTAAAAAAACTTGTTGACAAGTTGAATCCGGTGTGTTTGTTCGGGGCTAAAACAAAGATGCATACTGTTGGGGGTACTGGAGGACTGGAGTTGGGAACACTGCTCTGACCGTGTCACATGACACTCCAAGCTGCATTTCTTCATCCTGTTGGATCCCCTGTGGTACCTCTCTCTCCCTCCCGCCTCCTTCCCCGTCCTCCTCCTACATTACATTCCATTACACCTATTAGCCTTGAACCCTGCACTACATTCTCCTATCTACAGGTAACTGCCAAAATAAAGGAAACACCAACATAAAGTGTCTTAATAGGGTGTTGGGACACCACGAGCCAGAACAATGCACCTTGGCATAGATTCTACAAGCGTCTGGAACTCTATCGAAGGGATGAGATGACATTCTTCCACGAGAAATTCCATCATTTAGTGTTTTGTTAATGGCTCCCGAATCTCCCATAAGTGTTCAATTGGGTTGAGTGAGATCTGATGACTGAGACGGCCATGGCACATGGTTTACATCGTTTTCATGCTCATCAAACCATTCAGTGACCAATTGTGCCCTGTGGATGGGGGTATTGTCATCCTATGGGGGCATAGACATGGTAGAAAAAAGAATAGCCAAAAGAATGGCCTGCTCAGCATTTTTATACATGACGCTAAGCATGGTGGGAAGTTAATTGCTTAATTAACTCAGGAACCACACCTATGTGGAAGCACCTGCTTTCAATATACTTTGTATCCCTCATTTACTCAAGGGTTTTCATTATTTTGGCAGTTACCTGTATGTATGTAATGTGTGTATGGGACAACGTAGACTGTGCACCCAGGCTTCATTCACCTAGGTGAAGGCCTGTGGCAGATGCTAGGGACATCTTGCCTGGTCCCAGATCGGTTTGTGCTGTCTTGCCAACTGGCAAGAGTTGGCAGACAGCACAAACAGATCTAGGACCAGGCTATGGGACATCCTGATTGGCCAGTGTTTACTGTGTTCCCAGTATGGGACATCCTGATTGACAAGTGTTTACTGTGTCCCCAGTATGGGACATCCTGATTGGTCAATGTTTACTATGTCCCCAGTATGGGACATTGTGATTGGCCTGTGTTTGCTACTTCCCTTGGTACCTGTCCGATCTAACAACACAGAAAGGTCTGTTTGAGATCCAAACTAAAGGTGGATGAAATGACCTCATGTGTTTGGGAATGAACTTGTCCTAGTTTGTTTACGATAAGAAGAGGAGAGTGAATGTGTAAACATTCTGGAATGTGTTCTTTCTGCCCTTTTTTAGCAGTCAGTCACGCAGTCTTGTAGTCTGTCCTTGTGTCAAACAAAACCCAACAGTCTGTGCTCAGGTCCAACATAACCATACTGACCCAGTTCACATTGTCTAGGGAGGCGGCGTTAGGCCCTACTGTGTTAGTTATTGAGCCTGTTAATGGAGCCGGTTTTGGGTGACGGTGCCGCCCAGTGTTGGTGTTGGCACCTCTCCTCTCCTCCAATCCCCAGCAGGCTTTAGGCTGTAATGTGAGCTGATTAAAATCTTGTTATCAGCGTAATGGCCGACATAAACAACACAGAATTATTCGTCCCGTTTCACTCCGGTTGCCTCGTCCCCGGTGTGCGTCGTGGGACAAGACAAAGTGCTGCGGCGTGGAGTCGGGTTCGGTCAGACAACAGTGCCACGCACTTTCTGGAAGTCAATTTAGCGTCCTTTAATTAGCCCATAGATCAGCGGGGACCTGCAGTGAGTGAGAGAGAGCGACCACAAGGCTCTAATGGATATCATTAACCACACAGGACAGTCACAGGAGAGGACAGGACAGGACTGAGTTCTCAGACCACTGCCTCTCTCTGGGACTAAGCCTATGGGCAGGAAATGGTGGCCTCACCCTTGTCAACCATGTACTGTATACTGTTATGAAATGTTGTTTTCATTCCATTCCATTGCAAAGTCAGTATCTTTGAATGAACTTGAACACAAACCACCCTGATCAAAAGCAAGCATTACATATCTGTTCTTCTCTACCTCCCTCCCAACAGGAATGTGCCGGAAAGAGGAGCAGTTGACGCCAAATCAGAAGGTCCTGGCTATAAGGTATGTTTTACAGGTATGTTTTTGTTCTTTAGAGCAGAAAATGGCAGCTTCCTGTATGAGCCTGTGAGGATGGTCTAATTGGCTATGTAGCTGCTGAATTACAAATCAACCCCTAGGCACTTCATGCATACTTTTTAAAAGGTTATTTTCAAATGTCTTTAGTTGCTGTATTATACTGAACAAAAATATAAACGCAAAATGCTAACAATTTCAAAGAGTTACAGTTCATATAAGGAAATCAGTCAATTGAAATAAATGCATTAGTCCCTAATCTATGGAGTTCACATGACTGGGAATACAGATATGCATCTGTTGGTCACAGATACCTTAAAAAAAAGGTAGGGGCGTGGATCAGAAAACCAGTCAGTATCTGGTGTGACCACCATTTGCCTCATGCAGCGCGACACATCGACTTCGCATAGAGTTGATCAGGCAGTTGGTTGTGGAATGTTGTCTCACTCCTCTTCAATGGCTGTGTGAAGATGCTGGATATTGGCGGGAACTGGAACACGCTGTCGTACACATCAATCCAGAGCATCCCAAACATGCTCAATGGGTGACATGTCTGGTGAATATGCAGGGACATTTTCAGCTTCCAGGAATTATGTATAGATCCTTGCGACATGGGGCTGTGCATTATCATGCTGAAACACGAGGTGATGGCGGCGGATGAATGGCACGACAATGGGCCTCAGGAACTCGTCACAGTATCTCTGTGCATTCAAATTGCTATTGATAAAATGCAATTGTGTTAGTTTTCTGTAGTTTATGCCTACGCATACCATAACCCCACCGCCACCATGGGGCACTCTGCTCACAATGTTGACATCAGCAAACCGCTGGCCCACACAACGCCATACACGTGGTCTGCGGTTGTGAGGCCGGTTGGACGTACTGCCAAATTCTCTAAAACGACGTTGGAGGTGGCTTATGGCAGAGAAATTAACATTCAGTTCTCTGGCAACAGCTCTGGTGGACATTCCTGCAGTCAGCATGCCAATTGTATGCTCCCTAAAAACTTGAGACATCTGTGGCATTATGTTGTCTGACAAAACTGCACATTTTAGTGGCAGTTTATTGTCCCCAGCAAAAGGTGCACCTGTGTAATGATCATGCTGTTTTATCAGCTTCTTGATATGCCACACCTGCCAGGTGGATGGATTATCTTGGCAAAGGAGAAATGCTCACTAACAGGGACATAAACACATTTGTGCACAACATTTGAGAGAAATATGTTTTTTGTGCAAATGGAACTGGGATCTTTTATTTCAGCTCATGAAACACTTTACATGTTGCGTTTATATTTCTGTTCAGTGTATGTATATCATTGTTTCTTTGGAGAGAGGGGAGATATGCTTTGGGGATTCTAACTATGCCTGTATCACAGTCTGTACTGTCACTGTAATGACTGTAGTGAGTCAGATTCTTTGTGTCACAGCCCTTACTGTCACTGTTGACTGTGTTGTGGTGGTCTGTGTGCCTCCTCCACCTCCCCTGCAGGAGAATGCCCAGTCTGCTGGAGTACTTCAGCTATAACTGTAACTTCATGGGCATACTGGCCGGCCCCACCTCCTCCTACAACGATTACATCGCCTTCATCGAGGGCACGCCCTGCCGTCGCAATAAAGACCACCAGACCAATGGGAAGATCAACGGCAGGCACAAACAGACTGACCCCTCCCCAAACGTAAGCATTGGTCTCAAATGCCACTATGAATTTTGGAAAGTTACCAAATCGGCAGCGTTTTCTGCCATTTTCATGCCACGTTACTCTCAATGCTTGTCTGGAACTTTCTAAGACAGGAAAGCATTGCTGTGTGATGTGTAGTAAATGCACAGTATTCCCTAATCACTATTCATCGTTCACTAAATGAACAGCAACATGGCTGTCTTTTGTCTTCCTCGTGAAGCTCTCAATTATGCATAGCAGATGTGAGTCTTCGCTGAGGTTGCTTCCTAAATGGCACTGTATTCTCTTCATAGTGCACTACTTTTGACCATGGGCTCTGGTCAAAAGTAGTGAACTATATAGTGGATAAGGTTCCATTTGGGACAGAGTGTTTTAATTGGCTGATGTCCCCCCCCCCCCTTCTCTTCTATAGATTGAAGTCGTCCGTAAACTGGCCACCTGTTTCTTCTCCCTCATGGTTTTCCTCTCGGTCTGTAAAGTGTTCCCTGTGGAACGGAACATCGACGACGACTTCATCGCCAACACGCCCTTCTATGCCCAGGTGGTCTACCTCTACCTGTCCATGCTGACCACCCGGCCCAAGTACTACTTCGTCTGGACACTGGGTGGGTCTTCTTTCTTTTCTGTTGGCTCGCGGTCTGATTCTCAAGCCTTTTTATTTTTTTTAAGGGTGCACTTGCACACTCATGGTCATTAACAATGGTTGAAACTCCCTTCAGCCAAAGCTTAAACCAATCCAACACTTTCAAATCCATGACGGGGGATTAAGGGAGAAGGGAGAAGGGAGAAGGGAGGAGAATAGTTTTGGAAGAAGGAAGGATGTAGCCTTTGTCAGTTTTCCATAGTAAATCTCTTTAGGCCTGTATTCATTGATTGACCCTGAAACCAATTCTTAGCTGCAATATCCTCCATTATTCCATGTTGACAAGTAACCCCTCACAGACTGAGAACAGATGAGCTTTGTAAGGGGGTGAGATCCGTCCGACTTTGATCAGAAGCTTCTTGTCCCTGACTTTTAATGAGCCAGTTGTATCTGTTAAACCTGGAGGTAACCTAGAGCAGTGTTAAATTAATCATACAGGTGTTTGCAGGCAGAAAGTTGTGTGTGTTTGTTTGTTTGCAGCAAGGTGTGCATCATAGAGAGTATGGTGACAGGTAGAGGTGGGACTCAATTAGCGCTTCTCTGCACACACACACACACACACACACACACACACACACACACACACACACACACACACACACACACACACACACACACACACACACACACAGAGAGCACGGCTGCACGGCCTGAAGTCATAAACATGATGTATAGCTCCTGTATTGTCCTTCACTGTGATAATACACTGTTATTAGTATGATGTGTGATGTTAATAACATTAATTAATGTTATTGATGATATTATCATCACTAATAAATTGTGTACTTTGTGGATGTACAGTACAGTGATGGGACATGAATAAGACCGGGACTCATTCAAAGGGGCGTCAGAGCTGCGCACGATAATACTGAGAATACGCCATATAAAGGCAATTTCCCTGACGTTTGCGGAGAGCACATTCATGGTAAACCATGCAGATGTCTGCTCGAACGTAAATTACCTTTAAATGTGAAGTGCAATGCGCTTGTTGACAATTCGCCTTTGACTGAATCCCGGCCTGGAGATGGTGTTTCTAAAAGCATGTGTTTTAATTATGAACAGCTGATGCCATCAACAATGCAGCAGGATTTGGATTCAATGGATACAACAGTGACGGCTCACCACGTTGGGATCTCATCTCAAATCTGAGGATAATGGATATTGAGGTGAAATGTTATAACATTAGTAGTGTCTTCACTCATGTCTCAGTATGTTTCTCACAACTCTTTCTATTACAATCGACAGTTACTTTATGTATACTGATGTTGTCCTCCTCTCCTTGGTTCCAGTTTGCCACCAGCTTCAAGATGTTCCTTGACAATTGGAATATACAGACGGCACATTGGCTCAAAAGGTACAGAAACCAGGCATAGTCTGTAATTGGTAAAGACAAAGAGACTTGGTCTTAATTTATTTATGTAATTATCAACATTAGCTTGCAGCCACATTGTACATACTATTTAAATACATCGTAATTACAGTATAGGCTTCATGCTTGGGTGTGCCCTAAATCATTTGTGGATACGCCTAGAACCAAGGCTCTGGGGACTTGTCTTGTCTGTCTGTAAAAGTATGCCACCTAGTGGAGTCAGTTAGCACTAACAGTCTGCTTTAACATTATACTGAGTATACCAAACATTAGGAATACCTTCCTAATATTGAGTTACACCCTCCCCTTTTGCCCTCAGAGCAGCCTCAATTCGTCGGGGCATGGACTCTTCAATGTGTTGAAAGTGTTCTACAGGGATACTGGCCCATGTTGACTCCAATGCTTCCCAAAGTTGTGTCAAGTTAGCTGGAAGTCCTTTGGGTGGTGGACCATTCTTGATACACACAGGAAACTGTTGAGTGTGAAAAACCCAGCAGCGTTGCAGTTCTTGACACAAACCGGTGCGCCTGGCACCTACTACCATACCCTGTTCAAAGGCACTTAAATATTTTGTCTTGCCCATTCACTCTCTGAATGGTACACATACATAATCCATGTCTCAATTGTCTCGAGGCTTAAAAATCCTTCTTTAACCTGTCTCCTCCCCTTCATCTACACTGATTGAAGTGGATTTAACAAGTGACATCAATAAGGGATCATAGCTTTCACCTGGATTCACCTGGTCAGTCTGTCATGTTTTGTACACTCAGTGTATATAGCCTCTGTAGTCTGCACACAAGGCAATTGGAGTGGATTTATCAGTGGAATAAATTGTCTTGTTGTGAGAGGTTATTGTGAGGTCTTGCTGTGCTGTTGTGTTTGACTGGCTGGTTGTGTGTGTGCAGGGTGTGTTACGAGCGCTGTCCCTACAACCCCACGGCGGCTACCTTCATCCTGTCGGCCATGTGGCATGGAGCCTACCCTGGATACTACCTCACCTTCCTCACTGGCATCGTGGTCACACTGGGTGCACGTGCCGTAAGTACTGTCTCTCTCTCTCCAAAACACACACAGACAAAGAAAGGGAGAAACGGAGAGACACGGAGAGAGAGAGAGGTCTATCTCTCCGTTTCTCTCTCTTCTAAAACACACGCAGACACTCTGACACCGACCTCTCCCCACAATTCTCCATCTCTGTCTAGACACACTAAGCCCTAAACTTTTCATAGGCACAGATAAAATGTCATGCACTGTACCCACTAAAAACAAATAACATATTTTCTGATTGTCAACGATTTCTGCTATTGCTATAACAATAGATATCCTGATGGCCCCGTCGTTCCCATCACAGATTGAACAAAGTGTCTGGGCCATGGTCATCCTGATGTACCATTAGTGTTAGAGGATCAGTCATAGTTAGGCTGCCATAGAGACTCACTGTGCTATGAAGGCCTAGCCTGAATAAAGCATATTTATTAGAGTCTGGGGTTGAGTCCCAAATGTTACCCTATTCCCTATATAGTGTAATACTTTTGACCAGAGGCCTATGGGGGTACCTTATGGGCTCTGGTCAAAAGTAGTGCACTATATAGGGAATAGGGTGCCATTTGGGACGCACCCTGGGTCCAGCTGGACTGCACAGATAACAGGCCAGATACACAGATGGAGAGGAGACCGGGCAGGACTCCGGCTAATGGAGCGTCACCTGAGACACTTTGAAACTCACTGAGGCAGACAACCGCTGGTGTATGAGCTGCTGAGAGAGAAAGTCCAATTGGAAACGTATTACTTGACTCTTAAACTGCATCCCAAATGGCACTCTATTCCCTAGTGCACTACTTTTGACCAGGACCCATGCACTATATAGGGAATAGGGTGCCATTTGGGACCTTAGATGTGGTAACTGTAAACGAGGAAGGGGGAGAGAGTTAAGGGCAGTGCAACATATTTTAGATTTAGAAGGGCCGTTTGTTGTAAATTTAGATTTTCACTGTTTCACTTCTTCTTTTGCTCTGAATTCATTGCTTTGGTTCTTTATTCTCTCCAGATGAGACACAACGTGAGACCATACTTCCTAGGCTCTCCTTCACACAAGCTAGTATATGATGTGATCACGTGGGCGGGCACCCAGATTGCCATTTGTTACACTGTGGTGCCTTTTGTGCTGCTGTCTGTCGGGCCCTCTATGAAGTTCTACAGGTGAGTGACCAGAAACTATGTCTCCGTCCCAAATGGCACCCTATTCCCTTTATGGTGTGCTACTTTTGACCAGGGCCCATATGGATCTGGTCAAAAGTTGTGCACTATATAGGGAATAGGGTGCCATTTAGGACACATGCAGAGAACAGTACATTACCTCACTCAAGTCAAAAAAAGTATTCATAGTTTGTTACCTTGGATGGAAGTGCAAGAAGAATTGTGTTTTTGTCTGAACCTCTGACCAACAGGAGAATGTATTGCTGAACTGTAGAGGACCGTTAGTCCCTCAAACAGACATTCATATTCAGAATATGAATCGAGCTAGCAAGCTCTAGAGAGATTTAATTTATGATCTTTGAGAATAATCGAGGGTATTAAACACATTTGATGTTGACAATAATTATACTTATACAGTGGCTTTTTGTTCCTTTTCTAAGAAGTTGAATGAACTTGTTATGTGCCTGATTGTTGATGAAAAATGTGTACAACACCAAGAGAAGTTCCTAGCAACATTTGTTGCTTGGCAATAAGGTTTTCTGATTCTGAAATTGATCCCTAAATCATCCTCTCTCTCATCCGTCCCCAGGTCCTGGTACTTCAGTGTCCACGTCTGCTGTGTCCTCCTGGCTGTAGCCCTGCCAGTCAAACCCCGACACCTGCGCCTGAAGGAGGCTCCCGTCCTCTCCCACCTGGACTCCACCTCCACAGATGGCAACTGCAACCAGAAGACCAAAGCCACATGAAGCAGAACCAGAGACCAGCATCGGTGCACACACACAGAGACTAGCACCGAGGACTGCAGGGACTGTCCAACACATTATTAGAGAGAGATAGAGAGAGACTCTGTCCAAGCTGTGTTTTGGAATGGGATGACGATTCTCATTAGTTCACGTGAGACTGAGCAGCAGCCACACCATGGAGAAGGGATGGATGGTCTGAAAGCTTTGGGATTTACCTATTTAGTGCACTACTTTTGACCAGGGCCCTATGAAGTAGTGCACTAGAAAGGGAATAGGGTGCCAATAAAATTTGATTTGGAAATGCAGCCCCTACTGTATTATGATGACTAGTGGCTGGGGCGCTGTGGGATGGAGGGGTCCGAATCGATGATGAAATGCCAGTATTGTACTGTTACTGTATTATGGGAGTATGCAAACTTGCCTTATAACCTTTGTCTCTTTCTCCACTCAGTTTTTTTTTTTAGCTTTTGTGTATTCTCCTCACTTTGGATATTATTGTGTGTGCTGTGTTTCTCACTCAAGGTGAACAGGTTTTAGGATCAGGTGGGAGAGAGTGGAGTGGTCTCAGTTAACGGTGACAAATTACCTGGAGTGTTTTAGTCCTGGTAAAAAACAAAGATACAGGAAATTAGGAGACAAGAATTAAAAGAGAAGGAAAACAAGATAGCAGTGTCCTCAAGAGGTATTTTCACAAAATATGTGGGGTGTCCAACCACTCTGACCAGAAGTGGGTAAAAGAAACACACTTTGGTGAGAAAATTTCACTTCCTTATGTTATAAAATACATTTTACCAAGACAAATATGATTATTCATGTTCTGAATTGTTCAGTGGGGACTTTCGCTTACATATCATTAACATTATATCCAAAAAGTCAGATTTCGTAACCTAATACATCCGATAATAAGCACCGAACTCTGTTGACATAGCGGTGCAGATTTCGCATAACAACTTTTGAGGATTTTACATTTTGTGGTCCTCGTCTTCAAAGTTGTTTCCACGGGTAGTAAAAAGCCAAATTTGCATGACACAAGCTGAATTAAATGTAAAAGGCTTTGAAAATAAAAAGCTTGGTATACGCTCAGTGCTCCGTTGACATTTCACAGAGATATGCTTGTTTTTGTAAGAAATCTTCGAAAAAGGACAGGAATTTTGCATTAATATGAAAGGTGTATACTCAAATATAATATGTCATCTCTCAAAATTGATATCTATCTTATTTCTATATTGTTTTTTGTCATCCGGATTCGAGAAGAAAGATGATGAGTTCAACGATTATCCTGTCAGTTAGCCTTAATTCTCACACAGCATCCAGCATGCCTGACGCAATGCTATTTTTCTGTATTTTGATAAAAACATTTCTCTGGCCTCCATTGATTTAGTCACCCTAATTTTGGCCATCCTACAATAACTTTTGAATGGATTATGATAGAGGCATGAGGTTTGGAGCATTGGTTTTCTTAGAGGAGTATTTACACATTTCATATTATACTGAACAGAACTATAAACGCAACATGCAACAATTTCAACGACTTTTCTGAGTTACTGTTCATATAAGGAAATCAGTCTATTGAAATAATTAAATTAGTCCCTAATCTATGGATTTCACATGACTGCAGGGGAGGGCATAGGCCTACCCACTTGGGAGCCAGCCCCACCCACAGGGGAGCCAAGCCCATCCAATCAGAATGAGTTTTTCTCCACAAAAGGGCTTTATTACAGACAGAAATACTCCTCACCTGTGGTTACACGTGGTCTGCGGTTGTAAGGCCGGTTGGACGTACTGCCAAATTCTCTGAAACAATGTTAAAGGCAGCTTATGGTAGACAAATTAACATTTCATTCTCCGGCAACAGCTCTGGTGGACATTCCTGCAGTCAGCATGCCAATTGCACGCTCCCTCAAAACTTGAGACATCTGTAGCATTGTGTTGTGTGACAAAACTGCACATTTTAGAGTGGCCTTTTATTGTCCCCAGCACAAGGTGCACCTGTGTAACGATCATGCTTTTTAATAAGCTTCTTGATATGCCACACCTGTCAGGTGGATGGATTATCTTGGCAAAGAAGAAATGGTGACTAACAGGGATGCAAAGAAATTTGTGAAATAAGCTTATTGTGTGTATGGAACATTTCTGGGATATTTTATTTCAGCTCATGAAACATGGGACCAACACTTTCCATGTTGCATTTATATTTTTTTCAGTGTATTTTAACCATTGGTCAAAAGATGCGTTTTTGATTGGACACCCAACAATATGATGATTCATGGTCTCAACAGGGTTTATGTCCCAAATTACACCCCTTTCCTTACATGCAGTAAGTAGTACACTTCTTTTGACCAGAGCCCTGGTCAAAGTAGTGCACTATATAGAGAATAGGGTGCCATTTGGGTGACACCCAAGGACTTACTCCAGACTGTTTGCTTTTACTGGGTGATGTTATTGGCTCACTTCAATGTCACTTCTGTTTTATTCTGTTGAATGTCATTGTGTGTTGTTATTATATAACGGTTTGACACAATCACAATCTGAAAAATAATGGTTGGTTAGAGAACGAAATCACTGAGGGATTATTAGGGAACGTATCAATGATGATTTAAATCAGTTACCTAAACTCATTTAGCAGGTGATTCCATGCTGTGAGAGTAGCTACTAACCCCTTATTCATGAATTGTGTGTGAGAGGAGATGGTCTAGTATTTCATTGTGTAGAGGTACATTTTGTCATTTAATGTACTTGTTATTTATGTGATTCTAATGGACGTGGTATGTTCGACAAAGGTGAAAAGGTGGTGGAAAGGTAGGAAAATCAACCTAGGATCATGTTGAGTTGGAGATGAAACGGACAAAACTACAGTATTTACACTCTGCTTCTTCAGACAGTTCTGATTCTATTTTCATTACGAGGGGCAGTGAAAACTAAACCTACTTCTTCTTGAGTCGATTGTGAGTTAGGTAAATATGGTCATTGTAAGAAACCTTTGCTTGAGGCTCTGGAGAAAAGAGAATGGAACGCTCATCATAGTCCCGAGCAGCCAATCCTGCTAATTGTTCATGTGGATGATGTGGATAGTTTGTTTTTGTATATTATGTGATTAAAAGATGGATCTTTTTGGAACTTGACATAGTAAGTGTGATATGTAAAAGGTGAATAACTGTGGTTTAATTGTTCCTATTACGTTGTTTGTCCCCAGGCTCAATTGCTACCATATACTGTAGGGTTGACAGTGAGAGAGAGCCAACTGGTGGACTAGATTACACAGGAAAAAAAAACATGCTGAGAAGCACATGACAAAAAAAAAAGGTTTCCCTCATATGTGTTTAAACCCTGATAGCACTGTTTGAATGGCATAGAGTAGGCCAGTCCCTCCTCACATAGGCAACTGTAGAATACTTAATAATGCTGGCAGGTAAACTGTGAGTCAGAGCTTAGAAATGTGTTACCTTGGCTTCATACCCCGAGGGAGAGTAGGCCTATTGCTTTGCACCTGCCTCTGTGTCATATGCAGTGCAGATTATCAAATGGCATTGAATTTTTCTGGTGGCTATAGCAGCATAACAGCTCAGCACCTGCCCTTTATGCTCCTCATAAAATGTTGTACTTTGACCCACCATATAATAATTATTAGTCAGCCTGGTAAAAGGTTTTGAAACATTGTTTTCCTCAACACAACAGCAACTCCTTTGCAAATTAAGATATCGAGAATGAATGTGAAACCAAACAAGGGAATTTATAAATAAGAGCAATAACCTGAAATGTGGTAGGCTATAAAGCGCAATAAATCCACAACACACGAAGAAAGCTTTTACATAACTTTCACATTAAATATTTTCAAGTCAGGTAATAAAATATGATAATTATTGACGTTGCAGTTTTCGTCAATGGCAAATTCAATTTGTACATTAGTAGCCTAGTAAATGTGTGCCTCAGTTGGTAGAGCATGGCGCTTGCAACGCCAGGGTTGTGGGTTCGATTCTCACGGGGGACCAGTACGAAAATAAGAGCGTCTGCTAAAATGTAAATCCAGCATCTCAGAGCTCCATCACGTCACAGTTTGTAGGCGGGGAAGATGATTTGACGGACAGCGGGGAGAAAGCCACCCTAGTAAGTGCTGTGTTTTTCTGGACCACTAAAATGGCTGTTGTCGAGGATGGGGAATAGCCTGTGAGCACTACACGCATATAAGGGGAGGATTGAGAAGACTACACCGAAGTGTGGAACATTTATATTCGTTTTATTCTAAAGGTATGTCAATGTGAATTTGCCGTTTCTCACGTAAAAGCATCGAAATGTGTCCTCCTTTGATCGACGAAGTTTGATTGACAGCTTGAGTCCATCTGAATGTTCTCTTGTCTGACTCTGCTAGCTAACGATAGCAACTGCTGTCGTCTAGCAAATATCATATTCGCTATCAAACAGATGTTATCAACTAATTATGATCGTTGTCATTTATTCAAAATACTGCAATCAATAATGGTCGCAGTCAGGCACGGAAATAAAAAACAATTATTTCATAAGATGTTGTGATATCTCGTGCGCTCTAACGTTAAGCTAGCTAACAGTCGATGGTTTACTGAACATTCGATATGGCTAGCCAAGTGAAATAGCAGCTAGCAAGATATAAATGTTGTTGTAAATTGAAATGAGCTAGCTACCTTATTATTCACTAACTAGCTAGTGTAACGGTACCAAGGTTGTCCGCTTATTACGGTGTAGCTCAATAGTGTGCAACTGCAGCCCGCAATTCGGGGCGTTCCCACTCGAGCCTCCCATTGGTTCCTCCCTCCATCTCCCCCTCTCCCCATAGCATTCCATTGGTTCCTGCATGAACTCTGTCGTTAACAGAACTGCAGGAAAACCGTGCCTGACAGGCGGGGGCCGAAGGACACTGTCTACCGGTGTACAGCTAGCTACCGCCCTTTCTTCTATGGGGTTTATTGGCTGGCATCCAACGTTATTGTGTAGTAAAGCCACCTACTGTACTGGAGTGCCCCCGCCTCCCA